GTTTTGATTTTGTCCCTTTCTTCTTTTTTGATGTGTGCATCTATTGCTATAAATTGTCCTCTGAGGACTGCCTTTGCTGTGTCCCAAATGTTTTGGTATGATGTGTTTTCATTCTCGTTTGATTCTAAGAATTTTTTTGATTGCATCTCTGATTTCTTCTATTACCCAGTGGTTTGTAAGCAGGGTGTTATTCAGTTTCGTCTAATTTCTATCTAACTTTCTAAAATATTATTGAAACGTAGTAAATTCTTTATGTAAGTAAACTATCATGTTAACATGGCTAAATGATAAAAATGTTAATTTCTCATCACAAATAATACATAAGTTAGAGGAGCATTGCTTTGTTTGCAATATACTGAAACCCCTTGCAGTAGAAAGCAGCATCTGAAATATCTATTCCCATTGCTGACACACAATGTGCTTTTAAAATATTTTCAGATAATTCCAATTCATGCCAATTGATTTTTTAATATGACTCAAGATTTTTCCTGCACATATTTTTGTTTAAAATGTGTTGAAACTTGGGGACACATATCTAATATGTTTTGATATAAATATGAATCAAAAATACTGTGTTGGGAGATAAACACATTCAGTGAATTGGGGACTTTAAAAATAAAGAGGTGTCACTTCTACTTGGAAAATGTTAACTGGGAAAAGTGCAACAGGATACTCCTGTCGGTTCTTCTGCGTGTTTTGGATGTGTGTCTGTTCTTGTTTCTACATCATCCTTACCTCATTCTCAAAATAGGCAATACTAAAGGATCAGTGTAGCTCATCTTCAGTTGTATCTACTCTTTGCTGTTACCCATCAGCTGGTTTGGACATACTAATTTAATCTTATTTGTATGCTGTTAAACAAGAGTTACTTGTCCACATTCACTCTCATTATACCCCCTGGGGAGCCCTGGTGGCACAGTGGTTAAGAGCTTGGCTGCTAATCAAAAGCTCAGCAGTTTGAATCCACCAGCTGCTCCTTGGAAGCCCTATGGGTGTCCTACAGGGTCACTATGAGTCAGAATTGACTTGAGGGCAATGGGTCTTTTTGTTTGCTTGTTTGTTTTATACCCCCTTGAGCAGTGTTACTCCAGGTGTGGTCTGTAGCCAGGCATCAACATCACCTGGGGCCTGTTAGAAATGCATTCTCAGGCCCATCCCACATCCATTGAGTCCTATCCCAAGGGTGCAGCCTAGGAATCTGTGATTTAAAGACCTCTCCCCATAATTCTTATGCACACTTAAGCTTGAGAAACACTTCTCAAGTCAATATAGTTCTTATCCTGGTTGCATATTAGAATCACCTAGGTGTTTAAAAAATGTGGAATAAAATGCAGGACCTTCACCCCAGACCACTTAAATGAGAATTTTTGGAGGTGAAGTCTTGTCTGGAAACATTTTGATTGCCACAACTGAGACAGTGCTACTGACATCTTGTGGGTAGAGGCCAGGATGCAGCTAGACATCTTACAATGCACAGGATAGCCCTTACAACAAAGAATTATTTGATCCATAATGCTGACATCATGCTTGGTAAAGTAGAGGGTCAGCGAAAAAGAGGAAAACCCTCAAAGATATGGATTGACACAGTGGCTGCAACAATGGGCTAAAGAATAACGATTATGAGGGTGATGCAGGACTGGGCAATGTTTAGTTCTGTTATACAAAGGGTCACTATGAGTTGGAAGTGACTATATGGCACCTAACAACAACAGCAACAATGCCAATTGTACTGAAATTGAGAATCCCTTCTCTAGTGCATGCTTTGGTTTTAGTCTAACTCTTCCATTCCAAGTGTTCTCCAGTAAGAACACCTCCATGGAGGTCCAAGAGGTAGGTGAAAGGAGGACAGAAGGGAATTTGAATGTTCTAAATGCTAAGCACCAGGGCTCCCCAGATCTTTCTTACTGCTGTTCTTAACTTTCTGACCTTGGGCACAGCCTGACAATTAGGGGTAACCAACAGGAGAAGCAGAAAAAGAAATGGAGTCTCGGGGTATAGCATTTTCTGCATTCAAGGTTTAGCTACATATCTGAGTATTTTGTATTTTTGGCAACAAAAAATATGATCTTATTCCTTTTTTACCATTATTAAATATACTTGTCTCTTTTGAATAATCATATCAATGTTTTTGCTTTATTTTTACAGTATAAAGAAAAAAGCAGAACATGAGACTGAAATCCAAAGTTTGTTGAAACTGAAGGCACAAAATAATGAATTGCTTAAACAGCTATACAGGGAAGCTTATCAAATTGGTGCTGTTTTCCACCTCACCAAATTTAAAACAGATGAATTGGACGGGAAAATTGCAGAAGTGAGAAGAAAATTCAAGGTTATGTATCTTTGTGTTCTTAGTTCTGGGGAAAAGAATTAACCTGAATTTTATTGATGTAATCTTGATAGTTAGATTTTGATTTAAAGGATGATAATCTTCTTTCAAAAAATCTCTCGTCTGATAAATCAAGAAGAAAATCACCTCTCTCTAAGGCCAAGCCTGAATGGAAAAGAGTGAAGGGTCAATGAAGGTATCATCATTTACTTATGTGGCCACTTTACAATGTATTTTAATTTTTCTGTTGACAGGATATTCTTGGTATTATTCACATGTTTGCCCCATAGATGTCACAACCTACATTTAATTCTTTAGACTTAATTATTTCCATTACCTGAGTCAGACCCTCAGTGACAGGCATTTGGATCAGGGAAGATTTATGGGTGACTTGATAGATAGGGGCCAGCAAGTAATGGAGGTGGAGAATGTGTTGGTACCAGAATCCAAACATTCCTACCAAGTGTTGGGCTTCTGATAGTGATGCTGATAGCGATGTGGGAGGTTGGAGCGCTAGGAGCATGTCTTTTACTGGACTGAGAATAATTTGCTCTTCTTAGTTCCAAATGTAGCCTCAGAATTTAACAGGCTTGGATGGGTCTTGTACCTTATGTGGGACTACTGCCAGTTCCCTCTCAGCAAGGTGTTTACTCACTGTTGTGATGTCCTGTGAGACAGTCTTGGTCAGGTCCAGTGAGGAGCTGTGCAAAATTCAAGTTTCTGTTGCAAGTGTGGAGGAGGTGTTTAGATTCTGTCTGGAAAACCCATATTCAATTGCAGGGCTATTTACCTAGGCAACTAGAGGAGCCCCAGTGGTGCAGTGGTTAAGCACTCAACTGCTAACTGAAAGGTCAGTGGTTTGAGCCCACCTGCTACTCCATGGAAGAAAGATGTGGCAGTCTGCTTCTGTAAAGATTACAGCCTTGAAACCCTATGAGGCAGTTCTACTTTGTCCTATAGGGTTGCTATGAATCAGAATCGACTCAATGGCAAAGGGTTTGGTTTGGTTTAGGCAACTGGGGAAAGGTATGCTGTTGACCTACAAATGGGAAGATGAATTGTGGATGATTTTATTTTCACTGAATAGAACATGTTAGCCAAGTCAATAATGCCAAACTACTTACCTATGCTATTCTGAATGTCATCAATTAAGGCAATGGTATTTGGTAGAGGTGTTCTAATAAAGCAAATAGCTCTATTTAATTCCAGTCTATAGTTATCCTCCGCTCATCAGTAGCAGCTTTAAGCACAGGTCATACTGGGGAATTGAAAGGCGAGACAGTAGGGCTCAATACTTCTTCTTTAAGTCAGCTATGACAGGTTGTGGTCCTTCAATGCCTTGCATTAGCCTGTGCTATGGCATATTTGCTACCATTTCTGATAGGGGACGGTTAACTGGTTTCCACCAGCATCGCCCACCAACAGCATAAAAGCTTTAGGCTTGTTCCCTGAGGTGAGGTTCCCTGTAGATTGAAGAAGTCCATTTCAATAATGGTAAAAGGGATAGTCTCAGGGGAACAAACAGAACAGAAGCATATTTTAGCAAAATGGGGCCAATTTTAATACTTAAGCAGGTGTCTTAGGCTGGGTTCTCTAGAGAAGCAAAACCAGTAAAGTATATAAATATATATATAGAGAGAGATTTATATCAAGGAAACAGGTCATGCAATTGTAGAGGCTAGAACATCGCAAGTCTGTGGATCAAGGTAGAGGCCTCTCCCAAGTCACGCAGCCACAGAAGCTGGCAAGCCCAAAATTGGCAAGCCCAAGTTCAGCAGATAAGCTGACAGCTCAAGTCCCAAGAACCGGAGATGAGATGACAGGAGGCAGCCACAGGATCGAGAGAGAGTAAAAAACCAGAATGTCTGCTTATATTCAGATGTGGGCCACACCCCCAAGGAGACTCCCTTTCATCTGATTGGCTACTCACAGTATATTCAGTCATGGGAGTGAGCACATTAAAACACTGAGATTCATGGCCCAGCCAAGTTGACACACAATCTTAACCACCACAGTCCACCCCTTGTCAACTTGGCACATGTACACATCTCCTTAAACCATACATAATCTCTGAATAAAGACAGGTAGAAAGTCATACTTGTGCCTAACATGATACAACTAACACGTGTACAATCGAAAATGCTCTAGCTCTGTTTACAGCTTATATTTTATAAGTGAAGGAAACAAAAATATTTGATGCACACATACAAAGCAGAAATACTCATAACAATTACAGTCCCCACTTCCGCAACTGGTCACGTGGCCATAACTGGTATTTAGAACTACCTTCTTCCACTACCCATTCTGTATTTCCTTTGCCCTCAGCAAGCACCTTGGCTGGTCATGGTTCTTTGCCTGGTGGGGTGACTCAAACCTTCATTCCTGAAGTGTCTGGATCATAAGTAGGTATGTCCAAATTAGGTTGCTGTAGTTTTCCACTGACTTTAATCACAGGGCATGGTAGTACTAAGAGACGCCCTAAGGAATCTCCTGTATTCCAGACATATTCTTCTTTGCCTCCATTATGTAATATCAATCTGATTTCCTCTTGGTAATCAGGATCAATCACACCAGCCAGTATGGTAACTCCCTTCTTTGCCTGTTGAGCCAGAGGCATAAGGAGCCCAAAGTGGCCAGGTGGCAGTCTTAACTTCCAGTTCAATGGAATCGGTGATGTGTCTCCAGGTGGGAGCATTCCTCCCTTTGGAACTAAGACCTCTAGGCCTGCAGAGCATAAGGTCGAAGGGACAGGAAGCAAAAATCTTGCAAGTGGGTCACTAGGGGTAATAGTGAGTGGTGCCACTCCCATTTCCACCCCTTGATTCCTGGACCCATGAATCCTGGCCATGGGAGAAACAGCACCATATATTGGACGCTGGTTTAAAGCATATACAGCCTCCTGGAGAACATTGCCCCAACCCTCCAAGGTATTGCCACCAAGCTGGTGCTGTAATTGTGTCTTTAGAAGGCCATTCCATCGTTCTATCAAGCCAGCTGCTTCAGGATGATGGGGAACATGGTAAGACCAGTGAATTCCATGAGCATGGGACCATTGCCACACTTCATTTGCTGTGAAGTGAGTCCCTTGATCTGAGGCAATGCTGTGTGGGATACCATGACTGTGGATAAGGCATTCTGTAAGTCCATGGATGGTAGTTTTGGCAGAAGCATTGCGTGCAGGGAAGGTAAATCCGTATCCAGAGTAAGTGTCTATTCCAGTGAAGAGAAAACGCTGCCCTTTCCATAATGGAAGTAGTCCAGTGTAATCAACTTGCCACCAGGTTGCTGGCTGATCACCTCAAGGGATGGTGCCACATCGGGGACTCATTGTTGGTTTCTGCTGCTGGCAGATTAGGCACTCAGCAGTGGCTGTAGCCAAGTCAGCCTTGGTGAGTGGAAGTCCATGCTGCTGGGCCCATCCATAACCTCCATCCCTGCCACCATGGCCACTTTGTTCATGAGCCCATTGAGCAATGATGGGAGTAGCTGGGGAAAGAGGATGACTGGTTTCCATGGAATGCGTCATCCTATCCACTTGATTGTTAAAATCATCTGCTGCTGAGGTCACCCTTTGGTGAGCATTCACATGAGACACAAATATCTTCACTTCTTTAGCCCATTCAGAGAGGTCTATCCAAATACCTCTTCCACATAAATCCTTGTCTCCAATTTTCCAATCATGTTCCTTCCAAGTTCCTGACCATCCAGCCAAACCATTGGCCACAGCCCATGAATCAGTATATAATTGCACATCTGGCCATTTCTCCTTCCAAGCAAAGTGAACAACCAGGTACACTGCTCGAAGTTCTGCCCATTGAGAGGATTTCCCTTCACCACTGCCCTTCAGGGAGGTCCCAGAAAGGGGCTATAATGCTGCCGCTGTCCACTTTCGAGTGGTACCTGCATATCGCGCAGAACCATCTGTAAACCAGGCACGAGTTTTCTCTTCCTCAGTCAACTGATCATAAGGAACTCCCCATGAGGCCATAGGTGCAGACTGGGAGATGGAAGGTAATGTAACAGGAGTTGAGACCATGGGCATTTGGCCACTTCCTCATGCAACTTACTTGTGCCTTCGGGTCCTGCTCGGGCCTGATCTCGAATATACCACTTCCATTTAATGATGGAGTGCTGCTGTGAACATCCAACTTTATGGTTCTGTGGGTCAGACAACACCCAGTTCATGATAGGCAGCTCAGGCCTCATGGTGACTTGGTGTCCCATGGTTAAGCGTTCAGTCTCTACTAAGGCCCAGTAACAAGCCAAAAGTTGTTTCTCAAAAGGAGAGTAGTTATCTGCAGAGGATGGCAGAACTTTGCTCCAAAATCCTAAGGGTCTG